CCCTCTGAGAGTCACCAGGGTGCACTCCACACGAGACTGATCACTAAACTACAATTCCCATAATGCCGCTTGCCTGAGACTGATTACTGATTATCACCTGCAGCTCATCCACACTCACCCATATAAACCCCGTTCACTCTCTAGTTCTTTGCGAAGTATTGCATTGCCCCGGCGTACAATTTCTGAGCGTTAATTCCTGTGGATTGTTTATTGACTTTGACCTTGGACTGTGTACCCCGTTTTCTGATCGTTCTCTGCCTAGCCTGACCTGGATTGTTTACTGGCCTTGCCTCTCATCGCCTGCCCCGACCATTGCCTGTTATCTGGTTTGTTCTCTGCCTATTCTACATTGCCGTAACAGAATACTTCGCCGCTTCAGATCCAGCAGCCGAGAAAGAACCGACATCCACCATGGACCCACTTATCAGTCTCTTCTGCCTCTCTCTGCCTCAAGGTAATTGTTCAATAGAGGAATATGTTTTAGAATTTTGTGAGCTCTGCCATAGGATAGACTTGGACGATGCAGTCTTAAAGGACGGTTTCCGATATGGAGTTATATATTAAAGGATATATTAAATTATCTCATGCCTGATAATACCCCTCAATGGACTTTATGTCAGTATATTGAATTCGCCCTGAGGATTAGCGGCTCATCCTTTTCTGTGGGCTTTGAGGATAAGGCCGAGGGGGCGTTTCCGGAGACCATTCCTGTCCCGTTGGCCCAGTCAGAGACTGTTCACGGCCCGTCTGCCCAGCGAGAGATTGTTCACGTCACGTCTGCCCAGCGAGAGACTGTTCACGTCAAGTCTGCCCAGTCAGAGAATGCTCACGGCCCGTCTGCCCAGTCAGAGACCGTCTAGCCAGAGACCGTCCAGGCAAAGACGCTTCACGTCACTTCTGCAGAGCCAGAGTCTACGGACAAGATGGCCGCCTCTGAGCCAGTGTCTAAAGACAAGATGGCCGCCTCCGAGCCAATATCTAAAGACAAGATGACCGCCTCCGAGCCAGTGTCTATTGACAAGATGGCCGCCTCCGAGCCAGTGTCTATGGACAAGATAGCCGATTCACAGACAGTTCACATTACTTCTGCCAATCCAGAGACTGTTCACGTCACCGCCTCCAAGCCAGTGTCTACGGACAAGATGGCCAATTCAGAGACTGTTCACATTACTTCTGCCAATCCAGAGACTTTTCACGTCACCGCCTTCGAACCAGTGTCTTCGGACAAGATGGCCACATCCGAGCCAGATTCTGTTCCTGAATCAGTAATGTATTGCCTCAGTATCTCCTAGGCCCAGCAGCAGACAAGGGTGAGACACAAAGGCAAAGCAAATGTCCAGCAGCACACAAGACAATACATACAAAATGATCTCATGACAACAAGGGACAGACACATCAGAGTATATAATGAAATAGAATAAACAAGTGACAGTTGAGGAAAATATGTGAGGGAAATCAGCTCTGAAGAACTCTGAAGAAGAAAATCACAATGTAATTCCACGCAGAATATATCTTAGCAGTGTGATATTTAATAATTAACTTATTGTTATGATTTATCCCCCTTTTTATGTAGTCTGTACGATATATCAATTCTAAAAAGTCACTTAAAGTCCCTGTAAAGGCAATTCTACAAAAAAATTCTAAACACATTATAAATTTTACAAATGTATTGCTAAAACATATTACAAAGACTGTGAACTGTGAAGTGCTGAAATGCAGAGACCGTTAAACAGTTTTTCTCCTTTGCTATTTTACGCATTTTTTGGGCGGGGCTAAAACAGGGCTCGATGCACTGGAGCCCAAGAGCTCGTAGACACACCCAACTTAATGACGCACTGAGGCCAGGCCACTGAGGCTGATCTCTCCCCTAACAATAGAGCACATTCGCATTTGCCGCTCAATCAGGAGTTACTGTCAGTACTATTACTTACTACAGCCTAGAGTTTGCTAGCTAGCTATGCCTTAGACACGGAAATGCATAGGCTACTACCTGGATGCGATCATGTACAAAACAGATCGGTGTCTTTATTTAAATTTCCTAAAAACGATCACATCAAGAAGAGGTGGATTAATTTTGTGAAGAGCCAACCTTGATGAAGAGCTGAGGATCATCGCCAACACACGCCTCTGTAGTGATCATTTTACACAGGATCGTTTTATAAACTTTCCTCAGAGACAACTGGCATTCACTGATAATCCGATGCTGCTGGTGAACGGGGCCGAAACGACTATCTTCCGCCTCAGCGTTCATCCTCCCGTTCCAAAAGAGAAGTTTCACCTAATATGACCGTCGACAGCTTTCCCGCTAGTGGGCGTGGTTTCAGCGCAGCCAGCGGACACGCCCCCAGCGTTTGAGAACAGAGATAAACTGCTCATTTTTTGAAGATTTTGATAGCTTATTTTATGTTCTTGCCGGCTTTTTATAGTTCAAATTTGGCTGGGTGGCTAATAACACATTTTTCCGTGGTGTGACAAATTCAGAACACATACTTAATTTTGACTTTACAGGGACTTTAAGCCCCTTTCACATAGCGCGTTTGTAATCCTTTTCTTAAACCTGGGGGTTAATTTTTTATGTTTCCCAAAACAGAAAACCCTAAATTCCCGGCAGTCGAATGGTGAATTGGCCGGAGCTTAATATATTCTTTATCAAACTATTAAATAGTGCGTGGTACCTCCAGAAGGGAATAATAAAGCAAATAATCTATTTATAATTTACTTTCCCCAAAATTCTATATCCTTATTTTTTACCCAATATAATCTAACTAATAAATCGAGACAACAATTCTGAATAAGGAGAAAAAATAATAACAATGATTTATTAGACACTAGTATGACACCCTTTTTTAAAAAAAATAAATAAAATAAATCAATCAATGAATAAAATATCAGCTGTGGTATCAAAGTGTAAAGTAATAAAAATGGATTCTGTGTTGTTCAGTATAAACACTTTTTTTCTCAAACAATTAAGTATGCAACAACCTCAATAATCTCTGAGGATTCTGAATGATCACTCAAAAAAAATTTATACACTCTCCCTTCTTATTTCAAGAGGGGGAAAAAACTACATCAGACGATTATTGAAAACTCACAATTACTCCTTTGGATCAGTTTACACAATTCACCAAATGAACTCTGTCAGTAACACACAATAGATGAGTTTGATCACAGTCTCTTACAGAAGGAAAAAATAAATAAAATAAAACCCCACACACACTCTTTTGGCTAGCCGTTGGGGCCCCATCTTTGGTGCACTTTCACAGGAATGGATTTAAAGGAGAACTCCGGCGAACAATGAAGCTTTGGTCTAATAAAACATCGGTACATAGTCAACCGTTCTCTGAGATTTGTTTTCATGATAATCGAATGTAAAGAGTTTTATCTCTAAAAACTGTTTAGCGTATAATGCTAGTACTGAGGGCATTTACTAAGTAAAAAGAAATCGCTAGTTTATACCACTAACAAGGCTCAAAATAGCCCCACACTAACACAGAAACATAATGAGGGTCCATACATGCAAAACGAAGCATTGAGAACTTTGTAAGTGTACAGACCGTTTAATAAGAAGATACGTTATAAAGACAGTTCACTTCATGTATACACAGCAGGAGCCATCTTAGAAAATAGTCTCGATAAGTCGATCCCCGAATGCCGTTCATACACTTCAGAAGATCGCTGAACTTCACACAGTTCAGCTAACTCAGCACGACGTTCGTGGTTTGACTTATCGAGACTTTCTAAGATTTTCTAAGATGGCTTCTGTCTGTATACGCGAAGTGAACTCTCTTCATAAAGTATCTTCTTATAGACGCTTTCATCAGACGCGTTGCCATGGTGATGAGCTGGCCCAAAGTTGACTTCCGTTCTATTCGTTTATTAGTGTTTACTGGATAATATGGCATTGACTACAAATGCAGTGAAAGTTAAGGTGATGATCAGGTTGTTGAGCTGTGGGGTCCAACCTGACCTAGGGAGCAAACGCAATTTTTAAAAATAAAAATGTCAAGGTTTCCTATGAGGGAGACGGCGGTATTAAAATAGCCTATGTTTATCTGAGTGATAACCGGTACAGTGTTTCCCATACATTTATTAGTGGCAGCCCACCACATTATCAGCGCTGACCGCCACATATTGATTTCCGTGTTTTTTAACAATTTAAGATGGGAAAAGTTGTAATTGACTGCAGAGTTGCGTGCAGCGCATATTCGCACGCTCTCTCTCTCTCTCTCTCTCGCAAACACATTGACAGCGGACCAGTCTGTGTATTGAATGGTTAGAATCATAAACAGTGCTGCACAGATCCATCCAACATGCTCTCAATGAGGAGACCCACCTTAAAAAAAGGTTAGCAAGCATGTAAGAAGCCTAGCTAATAAGGAGAGTTATATGTTAACCTTATCAAACCCCGCCGTCGCGCTCGCCACAGTTTTTTTTAACTCTGCAGTGAATCAAACACGTCGGTAGAAAAACATCTTGTCTCCAATTTTTGTTCAACGGGTCTGGTAGTGTCACATTTCAGTTTGGCCAGGTAACATTTATTTTCTTTGACTGACAAGAAATACCAGCTAATAAGGTTATTTACTTGTTATGGATTGTCGCCGCAAATCTGCCGGAAGTTAAGTTTGGGCCAGATTAATGCACATGCGCAGTACCGTTTGTTTATGTTGTCACTGCTGAAAGGGTCTATAAACAAAAGAACAGCAGCACACAAGGGTGAGACACAAAGGCACAGCAAATGTCCAGCAGCACACAAGACAATACACACAAAATGATCTCTTGACACCAAGGGACAGACACAGCAGTGTATATAACGAAAAAGAATAAACAGGTGACAGGTGAGGAAATCAGGAAATCAGCTTGTGATCTGTGCACACCTACACTGAAGATATATATCAAATGAATAAAAATGACAGTACGTACACTGACAACAGAATAATTTATTGTGACAGTTTATTGTTCTTTGTTCAGTATAATTTTTTTTTTAAATTGCAAGCATTTACCTCAGTATCTTCAGGTGACAGTTTGGGCTCTTCAGTCCATCAGAAAGAAGCTTCACTCCTGAATCCTGCAGCTCATTGTTACTCAGGTCCAGCTCTCTCAGGACGGTGTTTGAGGAATGAAGAACTGAAGATAAACTCTCACAGCACTGAGCAGTGAGATTACATGTGGGAACTCTGAAGAAGAAAATCACAATGTAATTCCATGCAGAATAAATCTAAGCAGTGTGATTTTTAATAATTAACTTATTGTTATGATTCCTTCCCCCTTTTTATGTAGTCTATACGATATATCAACTCTCAAAAGTTATTTATTTATCTTTTTTTCCCTATGGATTTCCGGAAACATTAAACATAAAATCTTGTCCACTAGATGTATATATATATATATATATATATATATATATATATATATATATATATATATATATACTCAAAATTAGTTCAATTCAGACCTCAGTATCTCCAGCTGACAGTCTGGACCCTTCAGTCCATCAGAAAGAAGCTTCACTCCAGAATCCTGCAGGTCATTGTTATTCAGGTCCAGCTCTCTCAGGAAGGAGTTTGAGGAATGTAGAGCTGATGATAAACTCTCACAACACTGAGCAGTGAGATCACAGCTATGTAGCCTGTGAAGAGAACAACCCAACACAACAGTAATGCAATAGTAATGTTTATTAGGTGTAGTCGAATCAAACAAGTCGATGACTCGTTTGATTTAGTCCTCACCCACTAAACACTGGACGTCAGATAGACGTGCAGATCATGTCTATATTGGGTCCGTCGGTGCATGACCAATTCTGGACATCTATTCGACGTCCAAACTAGGTCCACTATTTGGATGTCCAACCATGACCCAATTTGGACGTCATGTTGACGTTCAACATTTGACCGTTGAACTGGGTCATTTTTTGGACCTCATTTGGACGTCTTTTGGATTACAGGTGCAGGAAATTTACATGATTAATATGCAATATTTTTTTATTTACAAATATCAACATTGTTGTTATCAACATGATTAATACATATGAATACAGATTATTTTTAATTATTTAAAATAGTTTTCCAAAAAAATACGAAATTTGATGTTGAAAAGACGTCCACAAACGACCACATTTGGTCCCACCGACGTCCATATTAGACGTGAAAAAGACGTCGAATAAAGACGTTGCCTGGCGTTACAAAACAACCCCTTCAGTAGACCGAAATTGGACGTCCAAAAATTACATAGAAAAGACGTCACTCTAACTCGTCACTCGTCACATTGCGCAGTGGGCAGATGTAAGTCGCGTTGGATAAGCATCTGCTAACTGACTAAATGTAAATGTAAATAGTTAATCCAGAGCACAGATAATTTAGAAAAGCCTCTGACTGAAGTGATGTAAGCAAAGCTAAAAAAAAAAACCCTGTATTTTCAGTTTCTATAATAAATGGGTTAAAACTCAGGTTCCTGAGTTTTGCCTGATGCCTGACACCTGATTCTTTTCTGAAGAGTCTTGGCCAGCAAATAACCTGTGTAAGATTAAGCCCAATCAAAACGACTAACAGTGTATATAAGTGAATGTAAATAAGCCTCTTACAGTGCTCTTCTGGTGTTTTTGATCACTGGCAGTAGTCTCATCACTGCTTCATCAGATCTTCTGTATTTCTGCAGTTCAAACTTCTCTTGAGCCTCTTCTGACATCAGGAGCACAAACACCAGACCAGACCACTGAGCAGAGGAGAGATCTGCTGAAAGATTTCCTGAGCTCAGATTCTTCTGGATTTCCTCCTCAAAGTCATCTTTCAGTTCACTCAGACAGTAGAAGAGATTGATGGTCCTCTCTACTGATTTCTCCTTTTCTATTTTCTTTTTGATATAGTCAACAGTGTCTTTAATGCTCTTTGATTTGAGTTTCAGTTTTGGCAGTAGTTCCTTCAGGTCACTCTGATTGGACTCCAGTGAGAGACCCAGGAGGAACCGAAGGAAAAGGTCCAGGTGTCCGTTCTTGCTTCTTAAAGCCTTGTTGATTGCAGGCTTATGAAGCTGAAACTGTGACTTTTTGAACAGTTTCCATGTCAGTTTTTCTCTGCGGGATTGAAGAAATGGGTTTGCTTTCTTGTCTTTGTTCATCATAAACACATAAAGAGCAGCAAGGAACTCCTGGACACTGAGATGAACGAAGCTGAAAACACTTATTGCTGAAACAGTTTCCTTCTGAAAGATCTGAGTGCATAACCCAGATTGCACTGAACCGTCACTGACATCGAGTCCACATTCCTCAAGATCTTTTTTGTAGAAAATCAGTTGACCTTTCTCCAGCTGTTGAAAGGCCAGTTTCCCAAGCTTCAGAACAATCTGAGCAAAAGACACACCACAGTATTTTTCTTCCATCTGTTGCTGCTGAGAAATTAAGAAGCGTGTGTACATCCCTGTGAGAGTTGTGGGAGTTTTGTCATTGCTCTCTTGATCCAGTAGAGGCCGAAGAACAGTGAGAGAGATCCAGCAGAAGACGGGGATATGGCACATGATGTACAGGCTCCTGGATTTCTTGATGTGACTAATAAGTTTTCCAGCGACCTCAGGACTGTTTTTGATGAAGTATTGCTCTTTCTGCTCATCGTTAAATCCTCGCACCTCTGTCACTTGATCAATGTAGCCACGGGGAATCAGACTGGCTGCTGCTGGTCTGGATGTGATCCAGATGAGAGCAGAGGGAACCAGGTGTCTCTTGATAACATTTGTTATTATCTTACTCACTGTTGTTTTTTCATTCACATTTGTAAATCTGACACCATCTTTAAAACTCAAAGGGAAGCGACATTCATCCAGTCCATCAAAAATGAACAAGACTTTACTATCACCTTCAGGAAGAGAGGGCAATTCTTCAGGACTCCTAAAGAAATGTTTATGAAGCAGTTCTGTGAGGCTGCAATCCTCTGTAATCAGGTTTAACTCACGGAATGGAAGAGGAAAAACAAAGGTTATATCCTGATTTTCTTTTCCTTCAGCCCAGTCAAGGATGAATTTATTGACAGAGACAGTTTTTCCCACCCCTGCAATCCCCATCGTCAGTACCTTTCTGTTTCGTTTAAACATGTCGTTACACTTTATTGCTGTATCCATGGCAGTCGGTCGGTTGTGAGAGTCGATCTGTATCACCTCGTGTTCGTTCACTCTTCCTCCAGTCTCATTCTCCACCACATATAAATCAGTGTAGATATCGTTCAGGTTTTTCTGATGACCCGTCTTTGAATTACCAATCAATATCCGCTCACACTCCTGTTTTAATCTGTCCTTCAGTCTGTGGCTGGCCTCTGTGTAATCATAAAGAGTAGCTTTTCTATCGTCTGCAGTTGAACCTTTAAAAAGAGGGGGGAAAGACAGCAGAGACTAACTGATCATGTTTTTCATTCTTTCCTAATTAAACCAATATGTAATTTGTAACCTGTTCTGCAGTTCCTATTACAAAAATAACTACAGCACATGTTTGATAAAACTGCACTTCGGCTCTATTCAAATTAAGCACACTTGTACAGCAATAGTGTTTACATACACATCTCACACTGATCATGCTGAAGTTGACAATATATATGGTGATGGAAACACCTTTACAAATGCTGACTTTCAGTTTTGAAAATGTCTAAATAACTTTCTTTTTTTCTAATTCCTACCTGAGCATTTTTTGGATTGGTACCACTGGACCCAGATCAACTTCAGGCCATACTGACCAATATTATTAAAAGCTTTTTGATTTAACATTGTCATCGAACATGAGACTTTATTAGGGTTAGGTCAGGGTTATTGAAAAGAGCCTTTGCATGTACAAGTTGCTTAGTGAAGTTTAAATGAAGGGTTTTAATTAAAGGGGTGGTTGAGTGTGATTTCACTTTTCTAACTTTAGTTACTGTGTAATGTTGCTGTTTGAGCATAAACAACATCTGGAAAGTTATAATTCATAAATTTCAAAACTAAGGAAGACATTTGCTTTTCAATAAATAGTTTTTTAAGGACAACAACAAGTGGCTGGTAGTAACTAAACGACATTCCTCCCTGGTTACCAACTGCACCTAGCCAGTTCCTGTATTGGCCTGTAGTTTCGGGATGACAAGGTTATGTAGACTTGCGTATCATCTGCATAACTGTGATCTTGTTGCCTTCCATAATTTTAGCTAGAGGAAGCATGTAGATATTAAACAGTAGAGAGCCTTAGGGAACTCCACATGGACACATATGCCTCGTTTCCACTGAGGGGTACGGTACGGTACAGTACAGTATGGGTCGGGTACACCATGATCAGGCTTGCGTTTCCACCGCCAACAGGACCCTTACTTGATAGGCGTGGTATGCTGGAAAGAAGCGATCGACGTTATTTTCACGCGAAGAAAGCGACATAGTAAACAACAATGGATGACAGACAGCAGATCTTGTTCTTGCTTCTCGGCATGTTTGCGAAGCCAACGCAAAGTCCAACTCAGGAGAATGATCCCGAGGACGCGAGTCCAGTAATTCTGTTTATGGAACAGCGCGTTCTTGAACGCGGCACTCTGCAACTCCGGTTATCTCTGCATGTTCATTTTAGGCAACAATAAAACGAAATAAATAAATAAATATAAAACACCACTCTGCTTCTTTTCGATTTCATTTCAATACATTTTAAACATTCTAAAGCACACAAATGTGCAACGCATAGTATTGATTAATGTATTCACTGCATGTAACGTTATTTATAACAAAACTAAATATAAAACAACCCTGCCTCTTTTCGTTTAAATTTAAAAATATTAAACATATTCCAGGCAATATGTAGCCTAATGTATTGCATAGGCTATCGCATTGGTACAAATGTTGCAATAAACAACATTACAGATGATCTTGTAATAAAATAAAAAAATATGACAAAACTATCTCTTTTTGTTGAATTTCAGTTTTATCAATAATAGCCATTATAAAAGTATAAGTAAAAAGTACAAAAAGATATACAGTAAAGCTTAAATATAACATCAAGAAACAATTCAGTCAGTCAAATATAGCCTACTCAGCGCTCAAAGATATGAAACTTCACGTAGCCTTCTGCCAAAACTATTGGCCAGGGAACGAGTTATAGATTCACGAGACCAAAGATCACCTGTTTGGTTTATACAAGACGAACTATATCTCATGTTTAACCACTACAAAGAAATCCGAGTCAGCGGCAAACATCAGAACGACTAGCCGAGGAAAGGCTGTTCCAGGCGGGGGACACGAGCGTGAGCGTCCGGTGATCGCTTAGAATGGATCTCAGTCAAATTATCATAAATCTATAAATAAACCACAGATTTGAGCTTTAAAAAACTACTTTCTCGCCTGAAAAACTCTTAAAACTACATTTCGTGACACAATAACAGTAGAATTATATTTCAACTGTATATGCTTTTTAATGCCTTTGTAGCACGCGAGAGTGACGATACTCTGTCCACCAATCACCGTTCTGCAGTGAGTCTAGCTCCACCTTTTAGTACCCTTTCACAGTGCTAGGTACCCCAACGGAATGGTACCCAAAAAGTGGTACGGTACGGTTCGGCTTTTTGGTACCATTCACAAGTTTTGATAGTGGAAACGCAAATAATTGCGTACCGAACCGAACTGTACCGTACCGTACCACTCAGTGGAAACGAGCCAATAGTAGTTTCTATTCTTTAGGTAGGATTCAAACCACTTTAATACTGAGCCAGAAAGGCCTGTCCAGTTTTCCAATCGATTTAGAAGTATGTTGTGTTTGACTGTGTCAAAAGCGGCACAAAGATCTAGCAAAATTAGAGATGTTGGTTTCCCATTATCTGTTTAGGTAGATGTCACTAAAGAACTTAACAAGAGCCATCTCAGTGCTGTAATGTGGTCGGAAACCCAAATGGAAGGCATCAAAAATATTGTTTTGGACAAAAAAAAGAGGTTTATTTGTTGAAAATCAACTTTTTCAATTATTTTACTAAAAAATGGAAGGTTCGATATCTGTCTATATTTGTCCATGAGTTCCTCTGGAAGGGAACTCAGGTTCTCACAACTGAGAAAGGGTGTGGATTAGGACACATTCTTAAACACAGACCAGCGCTTCGAAAACAAGCCACTCATACAACCAAGAATGATTAGTGAGAGATTAACCAACTCTCCCTACCTTCTCCAGTGTCCACATCCAGTACGTGCAAACAATAATAACCAAAGTGAGCAGCGGAAGACGTCAGCACGTTCTCCAAAGCAAAGCAGCGTCTCTAAAAGGTACATTAGATGCATAGCCATGGCATTCCCTCGCCCTAATCCTCCTCCTCTTGGGGATTGACTCAGTCATGTTCAATTTCTTTTGTTCGTTTTATAGACGCTGGCTTCTTATTCAGCTCCGACTTCACGTGCAGCCGTGCACGAGCGCAAAACCTCACAACTTAATCTTTTATAAACAACTTTTTTTTTTCAATTCCGATTGGATAATTATCAAGAGCAAGACCAAGCCTTGTGTATTTTTATGTAGCGCAAAAAAAACAACAACAACCTCCAATCACAGAGGGCCTATCTCTGTGCAAGGGCCCCTGGGCATGTGGCAAAATGAGTCAAGCAGGGTGGCAATTATGTAATTTTAGGGACAAGGCCATTTGGCTTCCACCTTTTCTTTTTTTTTAGGGGCACCAAGGCCATATGACAGAGCACAAAGGCCACTGAGTACACTTCGATGGTTTTCACATTCAGATTAATACCATAACATCCTAATTTGGAATAAGACATGGATTATGATTTTTTTAAATAAAAAAATAAAAATTAAAAAGATTTAATGAGAGAGAGAGAGAGCCATTACATCCTAAAGGTATACACCCTCACACAACAATAGACACAACAAAAAAGCCAATAAAAACATTCAAAAAGTGAGACAGAGATTGAGAGAGAGAGAGAGAGAGAGAGAGACAGTGTGTGAGGGAGAGAGAGTGAGGGAATGCAGTGGATTATTTCACAGCCTCAGGTAGTAAACTAAATGCTAAATGACGTTGCAGCCGCCGACCCCTGGCTGCCAACTCTCACGCATCCAGCGTGAGAATCACGCAATTGACCCAATTCACGCTCTCTCGCCACACCCCGATTTCTCACGCTGAAGTGTCAATCTGGTCGGTCAAATGCCTGAAAGATGAGTCTATCTATAGATCTACCTGTTGAGCCACTTGTGATCGACTAGATAAACAGCAAAATGGTTCAAGTATCCTGTAATCTAGAGCGAACGTGCATGCGAGACAGATGTTGTGATTGCACGCGCGCACAGAGCGATTTTGTCATTAGTGATTTTGCAACCGGCACACTTTTGGAAACATTGAGAAACAGATGCACCTGTTACAAATAAAACATATCCAGTTAACTAGCAGAGCACTAATTTAGTTCGCTTTTAAATAAGAGATCTAGCGCTAAAATGTTTTGTTTTTTAGACGTTTTTTCTCTCTCCAGACTTTAAACGCAAAACCTGAGCAGTGGGTCCAGAATTTTTGGATGAGCAAGCCAACCTTTGATAGGTTGTGTCAACGTGTGTCCACATTCCTCTCCTATAACGACACAATGTTTCCTCAGGCAATCCATCCCTTTGCAGATTCTCTCATCATTCTATCGTGGATACGTAGCCTAATGCCTCAGAAAATCTGATCTAATTCTGAAGCTGTGGCATTATTTATAAAGATTACTTTATTGTATTTCAAGCACAATATATGGATGCCATTAGCACACTTAAAGTTTACTTGGAATGCACATTGCAATGTGTTTAAAATGACTAAAAGTTTTATCAGTATAATATTAATGTATGTTCAATTCTCGTACAGTGTAACAGGGCTCAGGCAGACGATACAGATCATTTAAAACAAGCACCACTAGACTAGATTGTTGAACGTATTTTTCCAAGGGCCATCAATACACTGAATACTACACTACACTGAACACTATTATGAAATCAACAAGCTAATTGGGATTGCGTGATAAATTGTATCTATTTATGTTTACAAATATGTTGGCCGTATACAAGCTGATGGTTAAGGAAGTGTGCTGGAGATTTACAAATGTAATTGATATAGTTTTATTGTTTTTAGATATGCTTTTTATTCTCTTTTTACTCTTTTATTTATTGCTTGAGATCCGTCCTCACTCGGTGCAAATGGAATTTCGTTGTAATTTTACAATGACAATAAAAGGAATCTGAATCTATATCTTTAGCACAAGCAAGTATATCAAATACAAATTTAGTTGCACTTCAGTACTGCTTTTGTACAATTAAAATGCATTTAGTATAAAATAAGTTGTTCCAAATTAGCACACTTACAGTATACCAATGTATAGCACAAATAAATTTAGGTATACTAAAGTACATACGAATATGCTTGCATTTGTTCTCCAGCTGCTCAGCCAGATTATTCTGGTTGATGTTCCTCAGGATCTCCACCGTGATCTTCACAGCTTCTTCTGGTCCGAAACACGCTACCATCTTATCCACAGTTTTCATCCTATCTGCATTCTCCATATCAGACGTTGTTATACACTCATGACCGTTCTCTAAGGTCCACTTAAACTTCTTTAGATGATCTTCTGTCAGGTTCTCCAGTGAATTCAGAAGCAGCACTTTAACAGAAGCCATCGCCATTCATAGATTCACAGCTGCAGGATGAAAATAAAAATATCTGAAGTAGTTTCACTCCTAACATTTGGACATAAGTACTCAAATGTTATTTAGATGAGGAAATTAAGCTGTAATTGGACCAGGACTCTCAAAATCAACACATCCAAACTCATCTGTTAAAGAAGTCCTATAATTCTATTTTTACAAGACAATATAATCATGCAAGTTAATACGAGTCTCAGATTATAATATAGTTTGACACAGAATGTTACTGTGGACAAACTGAATTATGATTAATAAAACTCTCACATGATCTAAATGAATAATTTGATATAAAGTTTGAGATGAATGTGTGTATTAATGAAGACACAACTTCGATACAGTCTGAGCTGAGAGACATACAGTATGAGGCTTCAGAAAGCTGTTGATTAAATCTGCTAAAATATCAAATATTGCTTTGAGTTTTGTTTGCAATCTAAAAAGGTATACACAATGTGTCAGTGCTGTTTGATAAGTCTAGATCAATGTGAATGGATAAATGTGACTTTTTATTTTTATATGTCAGAATTGTATGAAGTAGTATTTACTAACCTTGAATAATGATGAGAAGATGTTTCTTGTTCCTCCACTGAACTTGAACTGTCTTGAGCAGAAGTTGCTTTGAAACCCGCTTTCAGTTCTGTGGTTTCATAAAGGACTGTGAAAACTTAAACCAAGACATTTTGCAGAAAACTAGTAGTGATTTAATTCATAGACATTTAATTGTTCAAAAGGATTTATGAAACTATGTGGAGAGTCTGCCATCAAAAGAAAAGACTGTAGTAAAATGTTTTCTTCTTAGTGGTTCTTAGTTTTTCTGCTTTTTCTTCAATATAAATGCATATGTTTGTGTGACAGGATGTGCCCTGATAATCAGCTACTTCACTGAAGCGTTTCCTCTCTAGGGCAAAGGTGTGAGAGAGGTTTTTCTCACCATAAAGATCTTTAACCAAATGAACATAACAGGAAACAGCAGTGAGGTTGAAGTGCAACACTATACAACAGGTTATTCAAAACACTATACAGTTTCTTATTTTCACAAGCAGAGGTTTAATAGCCAAGCCATACAGCATCCCTGATAATGCACATCCCTGCCTGATCCCTGATCCCCTGATTAACAGGAGCAGGTATAAAGCAGCAAAGAGACAGTGTTAAGGGAGATCAGCTATCCCAGAAGTTTTGGTGTTAACTGTTGTAAACCTTATCTGTGAGATCTGTTGTTTGAGTGCAACGAGAATTTAAACTGTGTAGGTTAAAGTGTTGAACATAACGATTGTTACTGTGTATTTATGTTCATCACATTATAGTGCAGTTTTAAAGAGATGGTTACGTCACTCATGACATGTACCATGTGTGATGATGTAGTTGGAGATGAGATGAGACCATTGTAGATGCTAGACGTGCTCTAGCCTTTTCCTGTATATTTTATTTGTTAACTAAGTTTTGTGATGCTAAGAAAGAGTAGCTCTCTCATGTATGAGAGGATTGCATTGCCTGTGCACTTATCATTAAAGGGTAATTCCACCGCTGGAGACATGAATATGTATTGAAAGTGGGTCATATATGTAGTAGAATAGTATCATAAATTTCTAATTTGGGTTCTTCTTGGCCGATAAAAGGCAGAAAATAACATTTTAATGCTTGTGGATTGTAGACGATCCCCATAGTGCATTGCAATGCCAAGCTCCGCAGGCCACTCCCACTACTCCGCCCATCACTTTCGACTAGAGCTACCGCCTGGAAATCATTTCGCACAATGAAATCAGATAATGTGCGCTAATATAATATGACGACGTAAGAGCGTCAAGGCAGCTTTGCAAACGGTTAAACATTTAAATTTATTGCCAGATGACACCACCATGCACTTTATTTACTCTTATAATAATACTATAGTCATTTAAATTAAGAAATGGTATAATAAATTACCTTTCCGACATACATTTCGAGGAAATAATGTTATAATTGTCATGTTTCCTCAAAGTTAAGAGCAGCCGCGTTGATTGTCAGTCATTGTCAGTCAGAGACGGAACACGTGTGAGACCTTCGCCTCTGATCGAGTACCGCCATTGGATCGATTTAGCAGGCCTTACAACGGTGTGTGTCATTGGTGCTGTGAGATTACAAATTTTATTAATATGTTTAATTTGATGTTTTAAATGGAGAAAGTCTAAAAACAGTAGGAATTCCCAGTGTGACCCTCCTGATTGTTCTGTGACCACACGGGAAAGCTAGGCCTTTCCTGTTTCTCATCTCACGTGTGAAAATGCCTGTTTGAGGTTTGAACATCTGCTAGGTTACCGTTTGTCTTGGAGCTCCAGGGTCGCATGCATTACCATTTGCTTTGTCTCAGTGTCTCCAGCTTCATGTAATCCCACCCTCTTTGAAATGTATAAATCAGAATGTAAGGTTCTTTTAAATCAGACTTATTTTGAGATGACTACAGCGACGCAATAAAGAACTTTTGCGTGAAAGATACCTCAAAAGTCTCCTGGTCTGTTGCGGGTAAGAATAAAACTTCATTACAGTGCGTAGAGTGAGGTTGTCCACCTCTTAGTAAGTCACTCGCCCAGAAACTCATGTGCCCTTCTGTTGTGCACTTGTCGCACCCATAATACCTGGAATACTGTTTGATCTTTTTTACCATGGCTCTAGCGGGTGTATCACACACAACACATCTGATTTTTATTTCTTTTCCAAATATGTCGAGTATGTCCTTTATTGCTTCCTCAGTAAAATCCAGAATCGTTGGTTTGGTGGGACCAAGTGTCACGTGTTACAGGAAAGACACTGATGGGTGGCAGGTGAATGGCACAGAGGATGGGCCAAAGATGTGTCCTGCTGCTTTTAAAAATGGGCAGGCCATCTATATTAAATGACAGCTCCAATGTGCTAACTCCTTCCGCTATCTCCCTTGGATAGCACTGCAGCTGCTCATGAAGACTCTCTCTTAAATTAAAGTGGACACACTCCATTCCAGACTTTACCACTGATTTAACGATTCTTGGAGTTTTCAGCAATGTTCATTTTGTTTAAGGCCTTTAAGGAGATCATCAATGGCATTATGTTTGATTAAGTGTTTTGTTGCCCATACTTGTAGGAAAGTTGTGAGTGAAGTTGAGGCCATTTTGTTTTCCTTCTGTTTCTGAAATGCACTTTCCCTTACTGAGACCATCGTCCACACGGTCAGGTCCCGAACTGCAGCTCTGCCCACTGACACCAATTTCTACACTTTCAATAACACTTGAGATGTCTTCATCAATGGAATTGATGTGTTGAGGCGTTATTGGATGATCTGACGATTCCTCTCCAATAAACCTTTCATCCAATGATCTACGTGCATTTTTCCACTGCCTTGTGTAGCGTTGCCTCTTGGATTTCAAATCCATTCTAAATCAAAAATATTGAACTTGATGAAAATGTTATAATGACACATTATATTTCACTGTACCTAGGCCTACACTACATGGCCAAAAGTATGTGGACATTAACTGGCACAGTGAATCGCTCAGAAGATCTTATTGAGATTAACAGAGTTTTAGATGTTCATGTTAGGTTGAAAATGTTTCATTTGTTTGTTTTCTTTAGTGGGGCTCTCGACCCTTGACTTTTCTCATATTATTTTTCCTTTAGCATTGCAGATTTGAGATATTTATTATATTTTAGAAAACACTATAGAGGAAATAGTCTGGCTAACACATATTTTTCCATAATCAGTTTTATATATATATCTTATTAACTCATGAAGTAGCCTAACACAATATTTTTACTCTAGCTTCCCACACATATGAACTGTGATCATGCACAATGGAAACACATGCAAGAATTAAATCAATAGATTAATAGGGTAGGCTAATTTATATCAGCATCTGCTGAACCACGGATTGATTGCAAAGTTAAACCATCATAGTAGAAACAGTTGTCCTGCTTAAAGTAATAATGTTAACATTACATTGCGATACTGTATTGCGATACTGTGAGATGATAGAAAAGACAGATGCTTTCTCCATGGACATGTGAATGAGGCGGTCAGGCGTCTGAGTGCACACTGACACGTCAAAAGCGTTTCAACAGGCAAACCATTTACCAAATAAGCGCGCGTTTGTTTTTGACGCGCATTTATCGTAACAAAAATGGCCATCGAAAATGTGTGTTTTGAGTAGGACAAAACGCACGTTATGAATGTGTTAACAGGTAAACCAAACAGGCAGTGCAAATGTGTGTGAAGTGTCCAAACGGGCAAAAAGAACGTGCTTGTTCCCTATAGTGTTCTGAAATCGCACGTCGAAAGCGTGTGCTCACTTATTGATCGAGTCTGTCGTGCTTTTGTCCCTATATGTGGTTTAGGACTTTAAACTCAAGTAAAACAGCATGAATTATTAATGTCAAATTTGTCAGAGAATAAGATTATAACTGGTGAGTTATTATAGTCCAGCAATTTCATGTTTTCATACACAAAACTCTTGGTTTCACGTTCACTGTTGTAACGGACATAATCTGTTACTGTTAATTTACTGTTGTTGGAACACTAGTGTAATGTTTTAGGTCATGTGTAGTTGCATCAAGAGCCACTTGAGGGTGCTATTGCCAGATGGTAACCTATATAAACACACCTACCATAGAGGAAGAGAGTTCGTTTGGTAGAGGGAAATCCATTGTTTGGTTAACCTCATGCTACCTACTGAATTTTGTTGATGGTCCTTTGTTGAGAACCTTGAGTTTCTGCTCAACTGTAAGTATGGATGATGTGATGTATGGATGATGTTGTACTTATTTCATTGATGTTAAGATGTGCTTTCTTTTTAGAAAGGACTTTTTGTTCACATGTTCTGTTATGAACATTGAGCAGAGGAATGGACAGTAAAGCCAAGTGGAAACTCCATTGGCAGTGAGACTACACCACATGGACAGCATCGGGGCACAGGGAACAAACATTGCACTGGCTACTGTGATGTAGGATGTGACTTTTCTCACATTGGTGGATAGTTGGATCACAATCATTGCATCGCACTCAAAATTGCCCTTGTGGAGTATGTTCATCGTCATCATCAGCATCATCAATGTAACCTCTCAAAGGACTGAACATATCAGAGTTAAGTTTACTTCATTGAATGGCTTCATTGTTAAAGAGATGGAGATCTTGAGAGTGCTTTGTAATCTGTTTATTGAGAGTTTGGCACATGGATTTAGCACAGTGGTGTAAATAAAAGAGGTTTAATGTTATTTTGTTTGTGAGGATATTTCTTAATCAGTACAGGTTCAAAGATTTCTGTTGAACCCCTCAGAGTAACAGCTTTAAAAGAAATGAGGTGTTACACAGTGGCGCCCGAACAGGGACTCTACATTAAACTTTATGGAGTCTTTTGTTAAAAAAAAAAAAAAAAAAAAAATATATATATATATATATATATATATATATATTTTTGACTGTACTGATTGATCCTCACAAGCAGGTAATATAAACTAGCATCCACTATGACAGAGGGTACAACGATCACAGATTTCTCAGGTGAAGCTTTTGCTCAGCACAGAGATTCTGTAGTTAATCTCATTGAATCCTTAAGTGAGTTATACATAGACTCTGAGGAAGAGAAAGAATCCCATGATGTAGCCACTGATCAGTGTGCTCCTGATGACGTGCCATTACCTCCTCCTCCACTTGAGTTTCATGAGGAACGATTGCAATTTGACAATGAAGAAACTTCCCAGCGTATGAGTAGCATTGAGGAGCACCTTGCTGATCTTGAACATCGTGTTAGTGGACTGGTTACCATGGAAGCTATGGATGCAAAGTTTCAAGCATGTGAAGACAGACTTAACTATTGTGTGCAGAGAGAGGTGGATCGCGTTAA